TTATGCAGACGCCTGGCTTTTTGTCTCTGTGAATTTGAGTAATTACAATTGAAAAGCAGGGAGCTACTCATTGCTAAGATGTCTCTGCTTTATGAGAAATGTCCTTAAAGCCTTTTATTGCTTTTGAAAAGTATGTAAAAGCCACAAATCTTACCATGATTTTTGTTGTTAATAAATGTTAGAGGAAGCGCAAGGAGACTGACATGTAATCTGCTGTGGTCTGCTTAGCTGCAGGGGAAAGGTGCCCTCACCAGCCCAGCTTTAATGGCTTCAGTTCTTCTGCTGTTACATAACTGTATGTTTGTGCTGGTGTGTAGCATGTTCTGCTTCTCTGCACTGCAGGAATCAGGCATGTGCTTTACATTGCAGCACTGCATAGCGCTCAGCCCCCACTTGTCCTGCCACTCCTCCACTCTTTCCTCACTGTCCCATCCACCAACCCCCCACCAGAAGGTCTTGCAGTACCTCCTTCACCCTCCCCCACCCGTTACCGCCCCGCAAGGGTTATGTAACAGCCTTTAGCTATTACTAAGCCCACCGCCCCGCATGGTTAGCTGAGTCAAGATGCTGATTTAGCAACTCTACCGGCCAAAGCAAAAAGCAAATACCTCAGTGGACTGTACCAACAATCACTGTTGGTAGGGAGATAACTGAAGGTGATCTGTTGCTGCAGTAAATGCAGACTTATATACTGTATAAGCACACTACTGTATCCCTGGCTGTGAGGAGCTGTCTGTCCCGACTGCAACAACACCTGGCAGATGATGATGCTGTCATCAGGACTGATTAATGAGGATCAGGGAGGGGCCACTACTTTAAGCTAACTATGTACATTTATCAATAATATACCAAAAAAATGTATTTCTTCAGGGCTTGCTGTTTTTTTTCATTTCATTTGTTTGGATACATAATTTTATAAAAAGTAAAATTGGGGTCACATTCGAAGAATGCACCTTCAACCAATCCTTACTTGAAATGATCAGATATATGCATCTCTCTCTCTCTCTCTCTCTATATATATATATATATATATATATATATATGCAGGTGTCAGGTATATCATCGTTTATGTATTAATGGTTATGGGATAGTTTAGGAGGGTTTGAAGTGTACAGACTTTCACTTCTAAAATATGACAGATGCATAAATGAAAAAAACAAAACCTGTCTGTCACTAACCGACCTGCATGCCTCCACAAGCCAAACAGGTGGGGAGGCATACCCACCTGTTTGAAGCAGAGATAATAGCCAGGAGTTAGCAAGCATGGAATGGTTGGCTTCTACTCAGGCAGTGCACTTTCATGATTTTTGGGGGGCGTAGCTTTGACAAGAGGGCCAATGGGAGGGGGTTGGCATACTGTAGCCTGTTCTTGCTAGCTTTTCCAGGCTTACCAATCTAAAAAAGGTCTCAGTGAATTAGCAAGGCACAACGACATAATCAGCAGACTGTTAACCAGACAAAGTAAAAACCTAGTATATTGCTGAAGTGTATATAGGTGTGCAAAAGATATGAATGTTTTAGCATTCAATAGACATTAAGTTGGTGTAGAATTGCATAACTCAGTTGTGCAATTGTACGGCACTGTGTCTCTCTCCTCTCAGTCTGTGCATGTCATGACACTTGTATTTTGTACTTCAGCCGTGCACTCCCCTGGGACAGACATATAGTTCTCTCAGTCAAACTCCATCATGACATAGTAGTAACTGTTCACGCCAGAACATTTTGAAAGACCAAAGGCCAATTGGAAAAGTCCAACACGTTGCCATCCAACGAATGGAGTAACTTTGTCACTTACTGATGCTACTCACAACAATTTCATTCTTCTGGTAGAGCCCTGCATGGCTTGCAATGCTCTTTAAAAGTCAACTCAGCCTTCAGACCTTCACACACTGTACATCAAGGGCAGATTTAGTGAATGTGAGTTTTCAAACTCCAAAATGTACCACGTAACACTTCCTTCAAACTTGACATTCACCCGGGACATTTGGACTGAGCTTTTAGGATAGCCTTTTTTGTCAACATTCTGTTGTAGTAATGTGCCTCTGGCTGCGGACCTGGCCTAGTTTTTGAGACAATGATGTAGAGGGCCATTTCCCTGAGGAGTGGGTTTGCTGGTCCGCTCTGGGATGGTGTTTATTTTCCCTCAGCTCCTGATCCATTTCTGGAACCAACCGACTGTAACTGATTAATTTCACTGGACGATTTCAAGCGGAAGTCTACATTTTGAAGCGTGAAATACAATTTGGTGCATATTTTTAAAATAACTTTATTGCATGTCTTCAAATCGTTCTCCATTTTATCTGGTTCCTCTTTTCCCATTCCATTTATATTTTGGTTTGTCATGTCGTCTGTTCCATCAGAAACACATTGCATGCTCATATTGCATCTTTAGAGGCACTAACACTCATTCAGGTCTTTTAAACAGAGCTCACAAAGTAATGACTGTTTTTTTAAACAACTTAGATAAATACATTCAGGTTGGACATTTTAATTCAGTTAGGCCTGTTTAGAATTTGAAAGAAGAACTGGTGAGCCTGAACTCATCGGGCCTTTTAAGAGACGCTTGCCTTTGTGTTTGCCGATTGCTGCGTGTCTTGTTGTGGGCGTGAATAATAGACCTCATTATTAGTGCTGTTTCTATAGCAACAAGGCATGCAAGCCAGGAAGATCTGAGTCAAGCGAGGCAGAGGGTTCACATTCACACAGACACCCAAAAAAAAATCGACAGGCGTTTTGACAACAAGCAGACACTGCATCTGGCTGCATGATATAGTCACTGTAAACTAAAACACTGGCCTATGACTTTGTTCCTGTGATTATATGTGTCGCTGTTTGTTTGATACTGGTGGTGTATTTGGTAAACAACTCAGTACACATACGCCAAATAATATGGAAGTGTAATTTTTGATTGATGTGAAGTGAAAAACAGTTCTAATGTGTGTGTGTGTCCATGTCGCCCTCTCTGTGACCCCTGTGGTGAAAATCTCAACCAATATCCCTTTTAAACAATAATAACATTAAAAATGTGATGACGATGAATCTATTTATATGGCCACATAAATCTAATGATAAAGCTGGTTTTATTCACGTCATAAAAGGTCATATGCCATAAAATGTGAGACAGCAGTGTTTGCATCATAGTGCATTTCAGGAATTTAAAATTAGATCCTATTTTCTACTAAAAGTTGGAAAGACGGCAATGATTTGCAGGATTGATTAGACTCTATGAATCAGCAAACAGTGCACAGCCGAGTGTTATAGCAGCCTAACAAAGCACTGCACAAATCAGAGGCTGCAGATTCATCGATGTACAATGTCTTGTTGCCTTCAGAAGGCTGTAGATATTTACTGAACGGAATCAGAAACCTTTCACATACTATAAACAACAGACACTGCAAGAGTCACTCATTCTACTTTATAGATAAATGTAGACTGACATTCCTGCTGGTTTTAATCTTGATTTGAAGGCCTCTTTCTCTCACATAATAATAATAATAATAATCCTGCTAAGAGATGGATCAGCGGAGCTGGCTACAGTGCTAAAGAGGAACCTGGGGTTGTTATTATATTCTTGATTAATGATGAAAAAAAGAGGTTCAGGCATTTCAGAGGGCTTTTTTGTTATCACACTATCTTTCCAGGCTAAACGAATATCATCCAGATTTTACAACCTAACCATTTTACCTGCTTTTATTGAGCGGTTGTTTTCAACCAAATGCTCTGTCAAACCCAACTTATTGTCTGCTCCGTGCACAACACTTGAAAAAACTGACTGCGAGAATGGTTGAGCTTGAATGTAGTCATGAGGACAGTTACAGTCATAACAACCACAAGTTACTAAAAACAGTACTGCAGCTTTATACTTTCTGATAAATTCCTCAATTGAACAGACAGGAGTGTTTTCATCAGAACCCTTTTTAAACACTGTTGTCTCCCTCTGATTTAGTTGCAGAGGTTAACTCAGCTTTTTTCAAGTTCCTCAACCAAAATGACACAAACACAGCCAGGTATTTCACCTCATTCCTGTGTGTGCAGCAGGTTGCGGCAAATTCCACAAGCACTGTAGTGCACTCTGACAAAATGGCTGACGTGGTCATGTGGTTGTATGTTATATAAAAGGCAGCAATAGAAACTTAGCAATATTATTGTGTAACAATCAGCTTAAGTTTTAAGTGTAGTTGCTATAACAATTCAGGAACTATTGTGACACTATTTATCAAGGCCTGGTTAAGTGTCAGGGGACTTTAAACCCAGTTAACTGTAATGTATTAAGCAGAAACCCAAATGTATGCTAACACACCAAATTATTAAGGCCCCTCCTTCAAACAAAAGTTCACAGAAAATAATGAGCTCCATTTAAATGCTCCTTAGGCAGCTCGCTCAGTCCATGAAAAATGTCCACAAAAAGAAAGAAAAAATCAGTAAAGGTCCTCCCTTCAAAATGAAAAGATGTAAAAAAAAAAAGCCCTAAAAGAATCAACCTCACCGGCTGAAGAACAGGGGAATAGCAGTCCAACACAGAGTTGAAAACGCCGTCTGCTCAGTCGTTATGGTCCTTCACTCACACTGTCTCTCTCCTAAATCCTCGTGGGTAAGGTATCACCATATCTGTCCTCAAATGCAGAAACCCAGGTCCTTTCTTTTTTGCTATTCCCCCTCACTAAAATCCTCCTGTCTCTCCCCAAACAGTTCACCTCCTTTGTTCTCCTAAACCTAGCCACTTTACACCTGTGACCCGGGAGTAGAAATCCCCTGTGAGAGTGGAAGTAAACAGAACAGCCAAGTGACAGCACATATGATGAGGATAGAGGTTTAATCTGGCAAGGATTCAGTACTAAACCATCTAACATACATCTAATCTTCCTCTCACAGTTTTGTGTTGGACAAAAATGATGGTCCTGTGTGATTGTTATAGTGGAAGTCAGCATACTCATGGCACTAAATTAAAGTGAGCACTAAATATTTTGTATGTGTCTAATATTTCTCTGTCTCCAGAAACCTGCGAACATCCTGGTGATGGGGGAAGGCCCTGAACGAGGAAGAGTTAAAATCGGTAAGGTGGATTAGAAAAATATTTCTGAAAAGTTCTTGACTGATCCTTAGCTCTAGATGATACAGATACTACTATCACCATGACAGTGGATCAATGAGGCTGTTGACTTTGTTTGAGTGTGTGACAGCAACAGCGCTTAACCTTCTGTCTGAGAGGTCAACAGGGAGATCAGTGCTGTTGCATAAGCCAGTTGGCCAGGGGACTGTTGAAGGGTAATGCTGCAGTGCTGCAGTCTATTTTTAAACATTATGCATCTAGTAATAGTATAGGGTTTTTGTTTAAGTGCAACTGGACCCTCAACTTGTGCTGATGTGTATTTCTCTGAACGAAGTGGCTCTGCTCCAGCAGGAGGAGGTTCACAGTTCAAGGGATATTTAACTCCTTTTACTGCACCCAATGAAGTAACAATACAAGAGGTTCTATGAATGCTCACGTTCATCCGTGTTCCAAAATGTCAATTTGGCAAAGAAAGCGACAACTCTTCTCTTTTGTATGACAATGACTGGATGGAGATTGTTTTCAGTTTTAAAATGCCATTTCAAACTGAAAACATATTAGTGCAGGTGCAGCCTTTGTTTGCTAACTACATCTATCTTTTCTTCCCACCTCTATACAGCTGACATGGGTTTCGCAAGACTATTCAACTCTCCCCTAAAGCCACTGGCGGATCTTGATCCTGTAGTCGTGACTTTCTGGTACAGGGCCCCTGAGCTTCTGCTGGGGGCGCGGCACTACACCAAAGCTATAGGTGAGTACAGTCAAATGTGTGAAGAAGGCAGAATGTGTGTTTTGAAATTTTGAAGCAGCAGATAAGGTCTCAGTGTAAACAGGAATGCACATAGCTGACTGACAAGGTCTATATTTATCATTCCTGGAACATGAGACAACACTGTCAGCCTGTCGTCACGTTGGTTCATACACTTAACACCTTCTGTGTCTCAGGCATCTACTGTGGTTATGGTTCTACAAATGTGTGTGAAACGGTAAATGGTCTGTATTTATACAGAGCTTTTCTAGTCTCGATGACCACTCAAAGGGCTTTACAGTTGTTTGCCCTTCACCCATTCACACACACATTCTTACAGCATATCAATGGGCAGCATCTTTTCTATTAGTTCGGCACAGCCATCAGGGGCAGTTTGGGGTTCAGTATCTTGCCCAAGGACACTTCGGCCTGCAGATTAAAATTAGACACAATATGTGGCTTCATATGTAAAGTGTTTAAGATCGACCATCTTTCCAGAACTGGGCCTCTCTCTTGTGTAAAACAGGTTTAACGTGAAAGGGGTCTGCTAACAGACCTGGGGGGAAAAGAAAAGTCATTAACACCAGGAAGACTAATTTGTTGGAGTGAATATACCTCAAAAACACTCACACTGTGTGTGTGTGTGTGTGTGTGTGTGTGTGTGTGTNTGTGTGTGTGTGTGTGTGGATTGTGTATGTGCTTCAGACATTTGGGCAATTGGCTGCATCTTTGCGGAGCTGCTAACGTCAGAGCCCATCTTTCACTGTCGCCAAGAAGACATCAAGACCAGTAACCCCTTTCATCATGACCAGTTGGACAGGATATTTAGTGTCATGGGTTTCCCTGCAGGTCTGCACAAAATACACACAACTCAATCTCTGAACACTTGTGAACAACGAACATTAGCTGGACAGGTTATTAAATGCAGTTTTTAAAAAAACCTGTTAATTACAAATATATTAATATATTATTTTGTGTTGAAATTGGTTCTGAAGAAGCAGTGAACATAATATTCAGACCATTTAACTTTTAGAACATTTTGTGTTATGTAGATTTCATTCTCATTGAATAATGATTATGTTTGTTAAGCTGTAAGCACGGTTGTGTGCATTTGCATCCCACAGATAAGGACTGGGAAGACATTCGGAAAATGCCAGAGTACCCCACACTACAGAAGGACTTCAGGAGGACAACGTGAGGAGACGCTGAGATGATCATCATCACAAACTCATACAGTGACACAGTTTCTATAAAGTTTATTGTTTTTTTCTCACCCAACAGGTATGCAAACAGCAGCTTAATCAAATACATGGAGAAGCATAAAGTCAAACCAGACAGCAAAGTATTCCTGTTGGTATGTGCGCACACACGCACACACACACACACACACACACACACACACACCCACACACACACACACACACACACACACACACACACACACACACACACACACACACACACACTAAGATGAGGCTTGTGTTCAGATTGTATACAGATATGATTAATTGAATCTGATCTCATTAAACCTAGTATTAAAACAAATTATGGAAGCCAATCATGAAGTTGTGTTATTGTGTTTTAAATGTGAAGTGTAATGCTGTCCTGTAATATCCATTTATAAATTCAGAGATGTGCAGGAGATGGGTGATACAAATTATCTACTCACCACTAGGCCAATGGAGGGGTGGGTCAAATGTTTGAGTCCACTAAACACTTTTGGAGTTTCAGGTGTAAACAGTGTTGCAGCCTAATCCAATACAATTGAAGTAACTGTGGATAAATTCTTCAAAATGTAAAAAAAAACAACGTCCAATACCAGAAGTAGTGATGCTAACGTGCACCCTGCGCATGTTATGCTTTGCTTCTGTTGTTTTTTTACATTTGATGAACTGATCTCCAGTTGCCATGAAGTAAATCATTCAAACGTATATATATATAAACCACACACATGAACAGTAATAAAGCAGATTCAGTTTCATTTTCAGAAAGTTTCAGAAAGAAAGCTGCAGCATTACCACAGGCCAGGCAAACAGCCCATTACAAACAGGCAGGTTGAGAATGGGTGCTGCTTTGGTATTTCAGTTCAAATTGAATTTGTACTGAGGTGGAGCCCAAACAATAAAAGCATGCCACTGTAACAATACTTTCTTTGTAATACTGTTTGTGTTGTCCTCTCTGTCTTCAGCTTCAGAAACTCCTCACCATGGACCCCACCAAAAGAATCACGTCAGAGCAGGCACTGCAGGACCCATACTTCCTGGAGGACCCACTACCAACCACTGAGTGAGTCTTAGGCTGTGTCCAAAATCCCTCACTAATCACTATATAGTGAGTTCAACATTTTGTAGTGCTGTCCAAATGTTAAGGGAAATTTGTAGATCCTATATAGTGGACTCATTTTTTCCCAAAATGTTAGTATTGTGAAAAGTAGCAACTGATGGTCAATAACCGAGCAATATATACCATCATGCATTGCACTGGTTTCAGAGAGACGTGAGGAGAGAGGGCAGCAGCCTCACAGCACAAACTGCAGCAAAGAAGTTTATTTCTTCATTTAAACATTCAACAAGCTTCTTACATAAAAGTATTAATGACCGGCCGTCATGTAAATACCGGCGCAGAGAAAATGTTCAGAGTAGTGTTGAAAGAGTTTTTCTTTTTTTTTTTGCAGTGAAGTGAAGTCATTGTAGTAAAGTAGGGGTTAGTGGGCGGTTAGTTTCTGATGCAACCTAATTTTGCTATTGCAGGAGGAATTTCTTTGTCTTGGTTCAACAGAAAAAGACGGGCTACACACCTTAACATATGACAAACCAGTTTGCGTTTTAAGCTGTCTTCCTGTCTTTCCCCCCATTTTTTTTAGGCAGGAATATGTTTTGGTTGGTATTATGAGCCTTAGTTTTACATTGTGTTGATAAAAAGATGTTTAATCTCTGATTTATTTCTTATTGCCTGTAGTGTGTTTGCTGGGTGTCAGATACCCTACCCAAAACGAGAGTTTCTCAATGAGGACGAGCCAGAGGAGAAAACAGAGAAGGTAATGATCCCCAATCACGGTCACAGCATGAACACAATTCACAACTCCATAAAGCCTTAGAATTTCATACCGCCGGTCCACCTCTGTTTTGTTACAGTGAAGATTTGTTTAAACGTATTTTACATTCAATCCATCAATCAATCAAATGTTATTTGTATAGCCCATATTCACAAATTACAATTTGTCTGATAGGGCTTTAACAAGCTGTGACATCCTCTGATCTTAACCCTCAACAAGAGTAAGGAAAGACTAAGAGAGAGCCACATGTGAGGGATCCCTCTCCTAGGACGGACAGAAGTGCAATAGATGCCACGTGTAACTTAGAACAACACTGGTTAGAATAAACAGTTTGTAACATAATGGGAAGTAAATGAATTGAGGAATTATTGTCAGTAATGGTCGAGTACCTGAGGAGACATATTGTATATCAAGCAGTCTTGTTGTAATCATAGTCCACAATCAGCTGCCACCACGATCAGGGTACACCATTATAATCCATCATCATGATCCACTGCCAGCATCAGGATCCACCATCAGCTGCCACCTTAATCATGGTCCACCACCACTATCCACAATAAATTGCCAACACGCTCCGTCAATGCGATCTCTGATTCGCTATCCACCATCATGATCCACAGTCCTGGATCTGCGAACGATAAGGCACAGTCCAAGGAAGAAGTCAAGTCCTTAACATGTATTAATGAGACATTCATTTCTTTGATGTGATAAGGAGGGAGAAAAGGAAAGAGAAGCTCCATGAGTCATGTCTCCTTCGACATTCTAGATCTATAGCAGCATAACTAAGAACAGGTCGAAGACAAGTCTGGACCAGCTCTATCTATAAACGTTCTCATAAAGGGAGAGGACTTTGCAGTAACGTTTGTCAGACGAGCTCTGTAAACTCTACACAGCCGTGTGCTCATGAAACCAGGCGGGTTTGTTGAGTGGAGTGATTCACTCCCGGAGTGTGTGAGTAACGCAGTCACAGAGAAGTGTGTTCCATCAGCAGTAGTCATGTTACTTCAGTCAGCTGTAACGTGTGTCCGTAAGCTCAGGTTGCAGTATAGTAGTGTTTGAAAGGGTTGAGAGCCAGGATAAGAGCTAAGCTAACCCAGCTTGGACCTAAGAGAGCCAGGAGAGGGGGGGTCATTGGCCTTCACCTAACTCAGCGCCTGCTCAGGTGAATCTCCATTGTGTTGAATTAAATGATTGATTGGTTGAATTGATTTGTTTAGCTGTGGTGGGCCACCTCAGAGAAATATCCGTGGTACTGCCAATGAGCAGACACATGCTTCACTCTCACTAAAAATGACATCGTCATGTCTCTTTATACCTTATCGCATGTAAAGTAAGAAAGAGGAAATCATTCCCATTTTGAACTTTGCCTCTCTTGGTGTACAAGATGGTAAAAATAACAGGATCAGTATCCATAAGCCACCTTTCTCTCCCCTGTTTGAGGTTCTTAAGTATTTTTTGTGAAGAAAGCAGCTGCTCAGCTGATCAAACCTGTTTAAATATTTTACCAGGGTATTGGCATATGTTTAGGGTTATCATATAGGGCAGAATGACAGTCACCACAAGACAGAAAGGCCAGACTGCAGTTCCCAGAAAACACACAAGAAGGAAAGGAAGAGTTTTGAAGCAAAGTTCTATAAACAGATAAAACAGTGGATGCACAGGTACACAGCAGCATCCTCTCAGTCAAATATATCAAAATGTATTTGATATTTCATTATTCAGCAGGACCAAGATCTTAAACATGCAGTCAAAGCAACAAAAGAGCTTTTGTTTTACTTCTGAACCCCAAACTATGTGTAAAAAGGCCTATATCTCACACAAACTTCTTTCTATATCAACATAAACCTGCTTAAACTTAGTGTGTGAGCAGATGCATCTTTATATAGTGACATTTAAATACATCCCTGAAGAATTTAACTAGTTTATAGAATTTATATAAAAGCTAAAAACTTGGGTGTGACACACAACACCAGTTTGAGGATGCAGGCCTGTCATAGGGAGTCGTGAGCTCATATTACTGTCCATGGAGAACAGAAAACACAAGCTGAACAAACATGAGCAGCTGATTCCAGGCTTGGATGTGGAAACACTGTCAAATACCTTCTGCAGTTGAAGGCTCAGTTAACTTTATTTTATTAAAGCAAGTTTGATCAGTTTCACTTGCTTTTGTTGAGAGCTTCAACACAACCCACCCTCGAAATACTGATATGTCTGTACTGTCACATTTTCATCTGTTAGTATCCCTACTTAATACACTTACTAGATCATCATTTAAAAAAATAAACAACAACAGTAAAAAAACATTTTTATTCTCATGTTCTGGGCATTTCTTTGTTTCATCCACACTAAGCTACCAGGATGCTCTGAATAAGCATTTTTTAATGAAAAACTATTTCCTTGGTACAATCATGACTGCTTAGCACTTATAGTACAGAGTTCATGTTAGCTCCTCCTAAATACTTAACAGGTAAAGACGTGTTTTAGGCACAGAAGCTTAGCTGGTGACCATGAGGTTATTGTGAAAAATAAAGCAGGAAATTCAAGCATGCAATGAAACAACCAAACACAGAACACAAATCCACAACCCCAAACACAGGGACAACAAGGTTAGTGTGCACAATATCAAAATGCAAAAGGTGCAACAGAAAATCCTTGAAAAGGTCCAAAACAGTCAAAATTCAGAGGGTAGAATCAGAACAATATAAAACATAGTAAAATGGCAAACACGGCAATTATCAACAAATATATATCTATATCTATATATCTATCTATCTATCTATCTATATATATATATATATATGTATAGATATATATGTTCTCTCAGTTGTGCTCACAAAGTCATATTTGTTTCTCAGGCTCTTGAGTTTTAGCTTTTGTCAGTTTTAAGTGGCTTCTCACCACTGTGGAATGAACATTTTCATTGTTTCAGATGATTGATCATCTCACTGTGTCAGACAGTCTGGTCAGACAGGTTCAGTGAAGGACTGTCACAATAGGAGTGGTTTTTAGAAATCTATAGCCTTTTAGAAACTCCCTCTCCTATCTTTCCTCTGTCAGTTTTGCTATTTTTTACAATGTAAAAAGTCACTAGAGAATTCTTCAGTGACTTTGCCTGAGGCAGGGATACACCGCATGTGCAGAAACATGCAGCGAGAGGTTGACCTCTGTATGTTGGGCCTGTCACGTCTCATTGTTGCACCACGAGAGACTGTGAATGGCATGTTAGAATGAGGTATAGTGGCTGCATGGTTTAAAAAAAAAAAGGTGAGGGGAAGGTGAGCACAGAGGCAGAGCCATTAGTAGCCATGGGATCTGAGCGTGTTGTTTTACACCAGAGTCTGCCAAGTAACAAAACTCCTCATAATACATGCATTTTCCCAAAAAAGACAAATTAAATTTAACATGGAGGTGTATATACAAAATGAAACAAACATAAAACACAACACAGGATAAAAACACTGAAAGTGAATATGACTATAAGTGTGTATATGACTATATGACTATAAGAATATTTCCCTAGTGGTCCTGGCTCATGATTATAACAACGTGATATTCAGATTTGATTCTAGTAGATATCAGTCATTATATAAGTAGCATATTGAATATAATGCGAACCCCTTCACTCATTTTTCCATTTCAATGAAGGTTTTATAAAAAAATTAAAAAAAAGACTGTGAGGACTTCAGTGTTAGTTCTATCCTAGAGCTCTAACAAATGTGTTGAATGTATTTCCTTGCTTTTCCTTTGCACACACACACACACACACACAGAGGAATCGAGTGCCATCTTTATCAAAACTGTCTCAGCCAGATGCATTAGTGCATGTATAAGCTACCACTACCACTTTGTATTGGTAATAATATACTAGAAAAACTATATACAATACAAAGGTGCAGTGTAGCATTCAAAGTTATCATTCACACACACATTCATACAGTGCATCACTTTTTCACACATAACTCACACACTGCTGGCACATTCAATTTGGGGTTCAGTATCTGAGACACTTTGGCAGGCGGAACGGAGTAGATGGGATTGAACCGCTGATCCTCCAGTTAGAGGTCGACCCACTCTACCTCAGGAGCTCCAGCTGCCCCTTTATTATCTTTGTTAATCTGTGCTGGTTACCGCCTGCAGAACCAGACCCAGCAGCACCAGCAGACGACAGGCCAGAATCAGGCCCAGAACCAGCAGCAGACCACGGCCCAGCAGGCTCCGTCCCAACAGAGTTCAGCCCAAACAAATGGGACCGGCGGAGCCACAGGGGTCGCCACCGGCGGGGGTTTACAACACGGCCAGGACCAGGGGCCGCCCAACAAGAAACCTCGGATCGGGCCCTCTGGGGCCTCCTCAGGCACAGGGGTGTTACAGTCAGAGTACCAGGTCAGTAGGATTTTTATGCTGGCTGCTTTTAGAAGGAAGTGGTTGCTCATGCTACTCTATTTTTTCTTACTGTCAACAAATCCCATATGTGACTAAAGCCTGTGTTATAATGTATTGTTATGTATGTCCTATGCTGTACACTTCCACTCTCACTCTGTTCACCCTGACTGACTGACTGACTGACTAAACGCTAGAAAAACTCCCCAACTCGAGTTTTGCCAAAAATGTCTTGGGGAAGTTTCTAATACTTTTCATAAATTTAACTATACATATTTTTGAGCCATGGTTAGCCGAAGAGACTATTTAAACCATGGTATATATATTACTGTGAAACATTGTGGGTTATACTGCAAATGAGTTAGTAAAGCAGCCTAATGACAGGACTACATTAACAGGATTATTCAATCAATTTGATGAAGTGTGTAAATCTTTCACTGTTATAATTCACCAGATTGGGCATAAATCAGACAAATTATCATTGAATCTGCAGTTGCATGAAAATGTTTGGACACTCCTAAGATTAAAAAAAATCCATATTTGAAAAGAAACGAAGTGAATAGATCCCCAGCAGCGAACAGGAGCCTTGAATATCTCCAACATCACGGCACACTTCCAGTTCCAGACACAGTTCTGTCATTCCTTGTTTGCCGTTGGCTCTATAGCTTTATACAAAGACACCCATTATTGAATCTAAAAAAACTCAAAAGATAAAAATACCAACTTCAGTATGTATTCATTTTAAATGGTGGTGCATAGGAACAGAATACATAGTACACTTTTTCAGATATGTAATTCATAAAATACTGAAAAAACACTTCAGTGCAATAGTTTTTCATATTCACTCAAACGTAAAGAGTCAGCAGCCAATCAGATGTGTGTGTGTGTGCGTGCGTGCCAGCCAGTGTGTTTGCCTGTTGGCTAACTGATAAGGACTGTACATTCCACATAGTCCTGACAGCAAATCACTGAGGTGCCTACTCGCTTTTGTTCCCTGCCCTGGTGTCTGTTTTATCTTCAGCTCGAGTTTTATCACGAGGCCAGAGAGGGGGAGATATCTGAGTGGGGGAGAGTGTGATGAAATGAGGGCAGGGACGGGGGGGGGGGGGGGGGGGGGGGCATGTCAGTGAGCACTGCACAGAGCGGTGCAGTGTGATAGAGGTGACTGGTTTGACCTGTTCAGCCTGTTTGACAGTGCTCAGTGAGGCTACGTTGGGGGATGCTACATGTTTGCATATGGAAAGATGCACACTTTACTGTTGCCTTTGAATCATGATGCATTCTGATGTTTTTATGTCAGTGAATGTGATATAAATAAGAGAAGCACATCATACGATTCAGTCAATTCCTAATTTCAATCTATTCATGATGGAGGAAGGCTTTCTGGCAGGACAGCATTTGTTTTAGCTAAGTGTTCCTAATAAACTGCATACTGAGTGTATAGCAGGGGCTGAGGCTGCATGTGAGACAGCTGGTGACTGTCAGCCTTCAGCAGATGTATAAATAAACCAGTGGAGTGGCCTGGCGTACCAGGAGGGTGGCTAGCTGTCTGACCGTGCGTCACTGTCAGCGTCCTACATTTACCCTCATTGATCCCACATCCCGCTAACCTACAGACTATCCCACCATGCACCACTCTCCATTCATTCTCCTGAAAGAAGATGCATTGTTGAAGTGCCCATTCTTCACTGCCAGCTTCTCGTCATCCTCTGACTCTGCGGAGCTGTTATATGTGTGAGTTAATGGATCTGGTCCTGGCCTCAACTGTTGGTGTTATTCTTTAAATGAGACCATACAATTGGGGGAAAGGCAAGGACAGAGACAGCAAAGGCCAAGATATTCCGATTTTTTCAGTTTGGATCGAGCTCCTAACAAGGTTATTATACTGTAGTTTTGAAATTTTCATTAGTTTTTATTTAGTTTTTCAGTTTGCTTTTTTATTTCAGTTTAGTTTTAGTTAGTTCAACAAGTGATTTTGTAGTTTTAGTTTAGTTTTAGTCTTAGTTTTAGTTTTTCCAGGTATTAAGAGAAAGCTTCGACTTGTAGAAGCTGAAAAAGGATGAAGCAATGTGTGACACCAAATATGGTTTATCAAGTCCTTTCATTTCATTCTTTAACCATCACCTGCAGGACAGGCAGTAATCGAGGGAGAAAACGAAACGAAAACGAAGCTGAATTTATCTGCAATCAGTTTAGTTTTAGTTAGTTTTGCATTGTTCATTGTAGTTTTTATTTCGTTTTACTTTTTTTTGTAATTGTCGTTTTTATTTTTATTTCAGTTAACTAAATTATTTTATTATTGCTAGTTTTAGTTTTAGTCTTGGTTTTCGTTAACTATAATAACCCTGGCTCCTAATCACTGGAACCTACAATTCCCATAATACAATTAAATTTCCCATGCCCCCAGTGTTTATTTCAGGCTTTCTCTTCATTTATAGTCTCTCAGGCAAACTCAAGTCCACAGTGATGTCAGCGGGGTCACTTGAAAAAGCTCCTTGATATTAAATTCATTAAAGTAAGTAAAACAAAATGTGCTCCTTTGACTGACATAGTTTATTAATACTGATTCATTTAATTGTATAGGCAGCTTTTTACTGCAGTGGAACTACAACACTTGAATTGGGGAGTAAACACTTAGTTAATGAATAAGTAGTGAATAAGAAGTAGATTCCTTAGGTGAATCAAATCTTTAATGGCAGTGCCAGTTTGAAACATGAAGTTCTTCTTGTGGTGCCGTTAATGACCTGCTGCAACTGATGCTGTCGCTAATCCATCAACCTCTCCTCAGGGGTCATGTGGGGATAAATACAATCAGAAAGCACGCTGACATAGTTTGCTAGAAATATTTTATTTTAAGTTTATGTACTATTAAAAAAAAAAAAATCCTTTTTAAATGTCATGTGATTCCTCCCCACCCTGTGTATTATGACCCCCTGAGGGGTCTGGAGTTAACGCTCTGTCAACCTGCTCTAAACCACATTATATTGACTACACACACACACACACACACATGTCAGAGACAAGATGTAACATGTCAGATGAATCCAGCTGCTCACTGCTATGTTTTCTTTCCACCCTTCTCTTTGCCTCTCCATCAGCACTCCGGCTCCCGCCTTGGTTACCAAAGCAACGTCCAAGGTTCCACCCAACCCCAGAGCACCATGGGATACTCATCGTCATCCCAGCAGAGCTCCCAGTACACCCACCAAACACACCGTTACTGAGGCTCCCAGACACTCGTGAACCAGCAGAGGAGTCTGTTCCTCCTCCCTCAGACAACCCTCAACCACCTCAGCAGACGTCTGCGGACGCCCTAGGCTCCCACTTCCCGATCGGACCTCGCTCTGTGCATTACATCATTCCAAGTCAGCCATCCTCCTTTTCAGCCCTCCCTTGTCTCTGGACCTCTCACCTGACAGCCTTCATCAGCACTGATACATGAAGGCAAACAAACATAGGAACCAAAAAATGTAAGGAGAAGTTGTGCCTCATCAGGCTGGTGAATTTGTAATTGAACTGAAAGTAACACACAGACTCAGAACCATGGCACTTACAAACACAATGCTCCTCACGAGGAAGAACCGCAGCTGTGTTCTTATATATATATATATATATATATTCATATATATATATGTACATTATCTAGCACCTTTTTTATTTGATTTGTTTCCTCGCTTGTTTAATAGAGTTTTCAAGTTTACCTTGTTAGTTGATGTCATTGTACATATTGTTACATATGGAAACTAAAGGAGGAGGAGAGGGCCTGTCATCCTGTCATCTCTTGTGTACATTACCTTGGATAATCAAAAGAAAGGTTTAAGGTAACCCTGTCGTCTTTAGAGGAGTCAATGTTTCTACACAGAGAATAATCAGCTCTTTAGCTGATGCTATTGCAGGGAAATAATAAATGCGCAATTTAACTTCTTATTATAGGATGTCTGTATTTAGACTTCTCTTTATCTATATCCGGATTTGGAAAGTAAGATTAGTAGTTTTAACTGCTCTCAGTTCTGTATATTCTGACTCACTACATCCGCTACGTTGTAGAGACAAGAATCATCACACAGCCAGGCTTCAAGTCCTCTGACGGCCACAGCATTTTCAGGGAGGTGGACACCGTTTGTCTGTGGTCAGCAGAGCTGTCGATGGACACTTTGCTGTGACACCCATCTTATCATGGACCCTAAAGACTCCCAAGGTTTGTGAGCACGAATGTGCACACAAACGTACAGGGCAGCTAACAGTACAGCCCCCTATATGCTTCTTGAGACTGTTACTGCCTGATGACAGATTGTTTTTTTAAGGTTCTGTTGTTATCATTGTTGCCCTGTGTGTGTGTGTGTGTGTGTGCACACCTGGCAGTAGGTTTTTTGTGTGTTGTTTATCCGTTTACCTGCTAGAACTGCACTGACTGCTGAACCAATCTGCGAAAAGCTGGAACAAACGTGGGGTGAGTTTTGTCGCCTTTTCCACTCTGACCCTCGGGCCGAGCACTGAGCAGACGCTTCATAGAGACCGGACACATTAAAGACACTGGGTGCGTTTTTTAATGCAAGCCAGAGGTGATCAGTGTGCACTGCCCGTACACCAAGAATTCTTATCTACTTATGTACACACCAAGGTTATTATAGTTTTGAAATTTTCATTAGTTTTTATTAAAATTTTCAGTTTGCTTTTTTATTTCAGTTTAGTTTTAGTTAGTTCAACAAGTGATTTTGTAGTTTTACTTTAGTTTTTATTTTGAGGAATCGACTAGTTTCAGTTTAGTTTTTATTTAGTTTTAGTCTTAGTTTTTCCAGGTATTAAGAGAAAGCTTCGACTTGTAGAAGCTGAAAAAGGATGAAAGAATGTGTGACACCAAATATGGTTTATCAAGTCCTTTCATTTCATTCTTTAACCATCACCTGCAGGACAGGCAGGAATCGAGGGGGAAAAGAAACGAAAACGAAGCTGAATTTATCTGCAATCAGTTTAGTTTTAGTTACTTTTGCATTGTTCATTGTAGTTTTTATTTAGTTTTACTTTTTTTTGTAATTTTTATTTCAGTTAACTAAATTATTTTTTCATTGCTAGTTTTAGTTTTAGTCTTAGTTTTCGTTAACTATAATAACCCTGATACACACTCCTACATTAATGCTGATTGATTTCATCTTCGTCGAAAACCTAAAGAAATATTCAGTGGTGAAATGTAACTAAGTACAAGTTTGTATTTTAAATGTGAAAAAAACACCAGCAGCCAGCTAGCTTAGCATAAAGGGGGAAACATCTAGCCTGGCTTTGTCTGAAGATGACAAGATCCCCCTGTTTGTAGAATCTGTATGGAAAAAGTGTCCAAACTGGATGACATTACTTTAATAATAAATAGACAGGAACATTACTTGTACAATGGCTAATTCTGCAAAAGTACTTGTAGCTCCTTTCATGTCTACTCATATACATTTCAAATATTTGTTCTCCATTTTCTTTAATTAAGAGCTTTGAATACTAGTTACTTAACTTTGGATACTGAAAAGACATTTAGTCATAAACACATATTTACTTTTACGCCTAACTTATGTGTCATAAGTTAGGCGTAAGTATGCTTTACACTTTTCACTCCCCCACAGTTTGCCCCATCCTCACTGGCCCTGCTCAGTCACATGACCGGCCACAGTGCAGGTTGTATTAAAGAACGCACCCAGTGACTCAACTGTTTCTGCTCCTGCATGTGCTCCAGCAGCACAGACGGGACACTGCGGGGGGGGGGGTTTGCCAGACGTGTGGCCTGCAGTCGGAAACACCGACACTCTGTGGCTGAAGAGAGAACTGGACCTCTGTCATTTGTTAAGCTGCAGATGAACAAGCAGAGTCACAGCAGTGCTCAGCAGAAAATGCAGTTTGGTATCAAACTGATGTTATTGTTGTGACCAGTGTTCCATTCATTTGTCACAGATGTGTAAAGAAGCCGCCCGCTCGCTCTCAGCCAGAAAATTATTCTTTTTATTTGGATCTCATCCCTTTAAAGTGGCTTTTTGTTCAATACATTGATGGGTGCGACTCCTCCGCTCCTCCACACTGTGTCTTTCTTTGCAGATGCCAGGTGGATCACTTATTGTCCCTGTCACAGGTCAGAGTCACTTCCATCCAAACTGTGTCAGTTCTGTAAAATGACAGACATCTTGTTTTTTCTCTTTTTGGCAAAAAAACCCCAATCTGAGATCAGTACTGATGAACTTCAAGGTTTCAGGTCAAATCAAAACTGTTTAATTCCAAAATACCACATTTGAAGAACTAACTTAAGTGCTTGGACTAAAAACGTTTGCAGAACAGGTACTTAATGTTTTAAAGCTTCATTCATTTACTGTTTTTCACAACTTGGGCCCCAAAGGTAACGAAGACCAAGCCACCTTATAGAGATCCAAAGTCCGGCTCGAGGTTAGACTCCTGCAGCTTCAGCGGGTGAATCTCTCAGTGAAGATTTTATTTCAAAGATATGTAGTTCACTATCATTATTATAAGATAAATGAGGTCTACAGTACTTGTTATTAGAGGAGGAACCTTGCATGAAAATGTACCAGTATAAATCCAAAAACACTGTTTTAATGTGTTTTTGCCATGTTTAAATGTCTACTATGTAGGCAGCTTCACTTGGGCTCTCTGTGAAGATGATACGTGTTTGCAAACTGTTCCTTCTCTGGCCACCTGAACACAATTCTTCTTTTAACTCTGGTTTGGTCTCCTCTGCATTTTTAGCTGCCATGTTTTGCCTGTGGCTGCAAATGAAGGTTACTAGAGTGGAAGGCTTCAAAACAGTGAGCTCAAAGAGGCCAACATGCCCAACAGAGCGCGGTGTCAGTTGATCATGTTCTGTGGGTTCTTCACCGTCATGGCACCTTTCACATTACACAGAATAAAATATCTATTAGTGCAGCTTTAAAGACAAACTCCAGGTAATGAACACGTTCATGTAAACTCTCTGTGTTATGTCACTTCAGACGTGTGGTTCATTGTTTCCATTCCCGTGTTGGGACAGTCTGGCAGACACACCCAGGTGAACACAACCTGTTGACTCACATCCGATGGGGATCAAAACCAACAGCTACCCTTCAGTGTGTTTGTTTGAAATCACACAGGGAGGATTCATTCAGACACTTCGATGTAAATGTTCTCTATCCACTCAAACGAGGTGTCACAAGTATTATTGAGCACAAGGCTCTATCGGACAAATTACTGTCAAACAACTCCTATGCAAAAATACAAGTAAATCCCAGTGTAAGCTTTCACCTGTGTTTAGGTTTTGGCAGTTGACCAGGTTTCGTTACATATTATGATGGGTGTATTCATTTCTTGTGTAATACTGCATTTAGTAGTTCAAGACAAAACTCACTTATGTCCTGTTTTCACAGAATTTAAAAATATTCTCTAAATGAACTATTGTCAATAAACATATATATGAATAGTATACAGTCATATTTATTATTTACATACATCTTTGTAAGATACCCATTTTTTAAAAATTTCCTCTGCCTTAACTATAGTAGCTATAGAAAGGGACCTGTCAGACATCACCAGACGATATTTCTTGTCATCTCATGTTTCTGCGCTCAGATGAAAGCATGTCTCCTTACTGAATGTTTTTATGCTTCCTCGATGTCCAGTAGGATGAAGGCGATGTTGTTTGGGATCAGCTTCCTGTGCTTTGTTTCATGCGCATATTCCACAGATTCACCGTTTCTACAGGAATGATAATTATCCACGTTTTTATTTGTGTGGATGGTGCCTTTTTCACTCATTTATCTTCTTAAGAATTTTTGATTTGTATTGGCGAGCGTGTGTGTGTATATATTTTTGTAATTTCACATCTCCTCTGTTCGCTCTTTGGGTTTTTACTATGTAGCATATTGTTATTTACACAATGTGGATGCCAGCAGATATGTATCTGTGTTTTGTCTATCCCTCCTCTGAAGACTGCAAACAATCCTGACGGAGGATTATCTCTTGTTCTCTCTGATAGATATCGTCCTCACACATGACTTAAGCGCAGTTATTCGTATGTTTTTGAAATGCTGTACATAAAAACACATTTTAAGAATTTTTTCATTGAGATATTGATACGAGAATTCTCTTTTAATGCACTGTTGTTGCTCAAATATTTAGTGGTAAAATCAAAAAAATATTTAATGTTTTTTAATGTCTTGCTTTAGACACTAATGTTCTGGCAGTGCTATGAGAGTTATAACGCAGATGATGCTCCTGTATGTGTAGATAAGGAAAGACATACATTAGTACACTTCTGTAAGAAATCTAGTGCACCACACCCCTACTTTCTCTTCCCTCTCACATTTCCTTCCTCTTAATAGTAATGCATGTGCCTGTCTTTTTCTAATGGAGAACAAAAGCACTTGTTGTCTCCCTCCTTACAGTTTGTGCACACAGACTGGCACTCCATCTGCAAAGCTCAGTTTCTGCGATGCCTTCAAAGCCCCTCGTGTCACTCAGATAAAAAGTATTGTTTGGCTACAACATATGACAAACTGTGGTTACATTGACTTTCCCATCAGATCATCGTTTAAGAACGCAGTTGTGTAAGAAATGTCAATGCAGTGTTCAACTATCGAATATGTTCCGATGCACTTATTTACCCAAAGCTCTGTGTGAGCTGCATCAGCCGAATGATTTGCAGGATGGGGTGTCTGTCTTCTCTTGTGTGTGTGTGCACAGGCGGGCGTGTGCGTGCACAAGTTTGAAATATAGACATGGCCTAAATGTATTGTCTTTT